ATGCTGAAGTCTAATTTACTACTACTACTACTAAGGATTTCCATAGTTTTCACTGTCTTCCTTCACTCAACCGTTTTCTCCAATTTTCCCTGTCATTCCAGTCTCCATCTCGCAGGGTTCTTTTCTCCATAGCCTCGTCGATTTCGTCTCTGAATGACCTTCGGGGTCTTCTTCTCTTTCTTCTTCCGATCGGGCTCCATTCTGTGATTTTGTTTATCCAGCGTCCTCTGTCCGCTCTTCTGACGTGGCCGTACCAGGATAGTCTCTTGTCCTCTATATTGTCGATTATGTCTGATTGCACTCCCATTCTCCGCTTAATCTCTGCGTTTTCAATTCTGTCTCTTTTTGTAAGTCTACAGTTTTCGGACCCATATGTCAGGATACTTCTTGTCAGGGTATTATATATTCTCTTTTTGTCTTTATCGTAATGTTCTTATCTCACAGCACTGAATTTAGTTGTCTTATACAGTTTCTTGTTTGTCTTAGTCTGTTGTTTATATCTTCTTCTGTTGTTACCTGGTTCGATATTAAGGTTCCTAAATACTTGAATTTATCTGTTCCATTTACTTGTCTTCCCTCGTCTATCTCTAGGTTTCTCGTATCCTTGTTTTCTGTTGTTAGGTATTCGGTTTTCTCTAAGTTTATTTATATTCCGTTGTTTTTATATTCTTCTTTTAGTTTTCGGAGCATAAAGCTGAGATCTTCTTCATCTTGTGCGATGACTACTTGATCGTCGGCAAAACTTAAGGTGTATAGGTATTCGTCTCTTACTGGTATGCCCATTCCTTCGCACTTTCTCCTCCATGGTTTAAGTGTCTTTTTCAAGAATATTTTAAACAGAGTAGGGGATGTAGCACAGCCTTGTTGAAGTCCATTTGTCGTTTTAAATGGATTGTAGGCTTTATTTCCACATTTAATAGCTACTTTGTTTTCTTTGTAAAGTGCTTTAACTGCTTTTATTATTGTTTGTCGGATTCTGAGATCATTCATTGCTTTAACTTTGAAGTGTAATTTAACGTTTGTTTTTTGGTGTTGCCACATCTCAAAACTTATATATCGATTATCCTACGTAACTAGATATTTTTGACCTAGTAAGTAAAAGTAGAATACGAACTAACTGATCCAATTGACGCTGGAATTATGATAAGACAGTAAGATTCCCGCATTTCCTCAAAAACAATACAAAATGGGAGAAAAATAACTTTTTTTTATAAAATACTAGACTAAAATAAGTCGCTATGAAGGGCAACTTAGCGTGAAAAGTATCCCTATATTATGTAATCCCTTGTTGGTTCTAAATATTGACTTTGAGTTGGTAAGGGCCTTAAATGGAACGAATTAAAGTATGGTTTCTTGTCAATCTACTAATTCTTTTGATACTGATGTTTACTTTATATTTTTAATTTACCTCTATGCAAAGTTCTATTTTGTTAAAAAATGCAATAGGTCAATACATCATGGCTGAATGGATCAAATTATCCAAAGCCATTAATTAAATAAAAAAAAACTGCATCATTTAATATAATCGCTAAAACATTTAACAGGGTAATTTCCCCAAAAAGACACAATGCATGATTGTTACCAGCAAATCTCATCATCATCAATTAGCCTATATTTGTCCCTGCTGAACGTAGGCCTCCCATAAAAGTTTCCACCTATTTCTATTTTGAGCTTCTTGCATCCAGTTTGTGGTGATGAGCTTGATATCATCAGTCCATCTAGTCGGTGGTCGTCCTCTACTTCGATATGTATCTTGCCTTGGTCGCCATTCCAGAATCTTTTTGGTCCATCTATCATCCGTTAATCTAGCAACATGTCCAGCCCAAGCCCATTTAGCCATGGCTATTTTTTCAACTGCATCTGTGACTCCTATTCTTCTTCTTATTTCTAGGTTTGGTACTTTATCTCTGATGGTAATACCTAATATTAATCTTTTTATAGCGCGTTGTGTAACTTTTATTTTATCTATTGTTCTTTTTGTCAGGGTCAGTGTTTCTACACCATATGTAAGAACCAGTAAAACTCACTCTTTAAAAACCTTTCTTTTTAAACAAACTGGGATACTAGACTTGAAAATGTTATTCAATCTACCAAAGGCAGCCCATGTAAGACGAGAAAATCTACTAAGGTGTAAATTAGAGCTGGAATATCAGATAATAGAACAAGTGATTTAGTTTAAATATCTAGACATCACACTATCTACCTAAGGAAAGCTCGAAACAGAAGTGAAAGATCAAGTAAATAGAGCAAACAGAGCCAAAGGTTGCCTGAATGATACAATCTGGAGAAATAAATATATCGGGAAAGAAGTGAAAATCAGAACTTACAAAACAGTCATCCGAATAATATTGATATACGCAGTAGAAACACGACTTACACAGAGAGAACAAAAATAATGCTAGAAACAGCAGAGATGAAAATCCTAAGAGAAATTGATGCTAAGATGGAACAGAGCTAGAAGTACAGATATACCAAGTAGATGTAAGGAGGACAACCTCAACTACTGGATATAAAAAAAGAGTAGAATAAAATAAAGATATGCTTGATATAAAAAATGATATAAATATTGTTTATGTAAAATATAAGGGAAAAAACGTGTGGACAAAAAATCAAATTGTAAACATATATAGTTGTTTAAAAAACACACAAGGTAAAAATATTCTTTAAGACTACGTTTTCATCTATTCGCCATTTAGTAACCCCTACGTATTTTAAAGACCCTATCTTAAAACCTTCAGATATTTGGTACAAATTTTTCGACTTTTTTTAACCAGACTGGGCTAACAGGAAAACCAGCCAACACCCAGCCGATTCGGCTACTCGAAAAAACACAGTCAACTTAAATAATGTTTTTTGAGTAGAAATAACGGTTTTTAGAATTAAAATTATATCCTCATAAAATATAGGCCTTTAGCTATTAAGTGGCGCCAATTTTAATTATGAATTATTATAAATATAGCAGGTGTGATTTTTTAAACAAATTCAGCTAACTCTACTTCTACTGGCCGTAGAAAACTTTTATTTGTTTTTTTAATCTCTATCTTGACTTTAGCTATAAGAATGAATAAATTAAAAATATGTGTACCGTATAGACAGCGCTGTAGCTTAATTAGTTTATAGCGTATAACTCGCCCCTAGCAATAAATAAGAGGTTAAAAAACTTCCTAGGCAAATATTTTTACTCGTGCATAAAAATATAAGTAACCAATAAGATAATCCGTGTAAAATTAGGATCTCTAAAGTTCTGGACCAATAAAATTTATAAAAATTTAAGAATTTTTATAAACAATTAAAAGTAACTCGAAAACGAATTTACCGATCGGATCTTAGGAAGTTTTATTCAATTTGTAATTAAAAGAGCTACAGGATAATGCTTGTTGCATGCAAACAAAAATACAAACAGGTATATCAAAGAATAAACATTGCTAAAAATTTACATTTTTGGACATTTAATCGGTAATTTTGCATAAACTTTTGCGTCAAATTTAATGCAGCACAGCTTAAATTAAAGCTTCTTTTTTGTACTTTCGTTCAATATTGTGCTCATATTACCCTAAGATATTGATTTGATAACCTAAAAATAAAAATAATACAAAAATACCTTTCTTGTACCTTAAAAATGCGACAAAAAAATTATAACGAACACTTTATAGAAGTTGGAGGTTACTTTTCATTGTACTTCACAACGCTGTGCTGTTTTTAAAAATTTGCTAATTAGTGCTCAAGATCATTCTTTTTTGTCTCTACAGCTTGGACTATACTGAAATAGATACTAAACCGCAGCCTAAAGCATAAAAAACAAAAAACAATAGCTGAAAAACAACTTTTTAAATACATAAATAAATATAATATAAATTAAATGCTCAAAATTATCTTGCCTGGTGGATTAGACCTACTGGGAATAATACGCAAAAAAGCTCCCCAGATTCTAACTCATAGGTGGTCGGTAAGGGGGTCAATAATAAATTAATAAAAACATAGCATTGTTAAAGAAATGATAAAATTAAACGAATAAAAAAATAAGTAATTTTGGAATTTGTTCAAAAATGTTAAGTTATTTTGTTCATAACTTTTTTATTTTCATTTTACAATAAAAAATAATAGGAATAAAGTCGTGCACAATTTAATTTGCTAAAGTAATGTTTTGTAAAAAAAATCGATTGAGTTGCTAGTATATGAGATACAGCGCGAAAATCCTTTGCCCCTATTACATGATCGTAATCGGGGACAAGAGTGACAACCCCACAAACTTGAACTTATGGCAACCTCATCAACACATTAAAAAATAAAATTGCGTTCTCTAAAACATACAACGCTTAAGCCGCAAAAAATGTAAATAAACATGTAAACAACTCGAGACAAATCGCCAATAGGTCAAAGACGCATTGGACAACCTAAAAAAGGTTGAATGACTGTTTAAAAGGTACAAAAAATTGAATAGCAATTCCTATTAAAAGTAATAAAGAAGATCAAAATTATATCATATATTTCCTGGCTTCATAACCTAAGAACTTGGTTGAATCTTCTGACCGCCGGTGTGTTTCGAGCAGTTGCAAACAAAGTCAAAATTGCCATGATGATGGCCAACATTCGCCACAGAGAGGTACCAGAATAAAAAATATATACACATTTTTAATAAAGGTAATTAAAAAGAAGGATAGTTATGACGATCTTATTGAGAATTGATAATAGAAATCAAAGAACTATATAAGCCAAAAATATATTATGTGTCTTTTAATCTAAATATATCTTGGATGGACAAAACTTATATTAACAAATAATAAAAAATAGTGTTACGAACAATAATGCAAAATAGAGAACTTATTAACATTTTAAAAATATTAAAGGTAAATATATTGGGTATAAAGATAATTATGTATAATCATCTTAAAGTTATTAAAGTAAGTACGGAGATGTGTTATACAACATACAAATCATTTCAATTTAATTTACCAAAATTTGTAATAATGTGTGACAGATCAATAAAAAAAGATACCTACCTTTGGTGGTATTCGCTACCGCGAACCCAAAGCATGCGATACTAATAAGCAGCACTTTAGTAACCATAGAACCTAATAATTTGAACTAGTTGCGCCGGTAATAATTGGCCATTAAAAAATAAATTTAAAAATTTTGATAAACGGGTTTTTGCGGTTGCGTTTCCTTGACATTGACCAGTGCTGGAACTTCATATACTTGTTGGGGGATATTAAAATTATTAAAGAGAATCAAATTTCCAAAATTAGATACCAATAATATTAATATAATATTAACATATTAATAATGCTCCCTGATAATAATGAATCATCCCTGATAAATGGCTAAAATCAGAATTCATAGCGATACCTAAAAAACAGGGGGCTAAAAACAGCGAAGAATATCGAACAATCTGCCTAATGAGCCACATGTTGAAACTGTTTCTTAGAGTCATCCATGGAAGAATTTATAAGAAGTGCGAGGAACAAATATCGGACAGACAGTTCGGCTTCATTGACGCAGTGGGTACCAGAGAGGCACTTTTCGGAGTACAGCACGGCACGGCAGTACGGCACGCGTGCTTGATCGACTATGAAAAGGCATTTGACAGAGTTCAAGATCAAAAGATGATAAGCATTTTAAAAGAGGCAGACCTGGATGACAAAGAACTCAGAATAATTTGAGAACTCTACTGGAATCAGACCGCATACATGAAAATTAACGGAGAAGAAACAGATCACATAAAAATACTACGTGGAGTTAGACAGGGATGTATCCTATCGCCGTTGATATTTAATATGTACTTAGAGAAAATTTTTAACGAGGCTCTTTACTGAATAGACGAAGGCATCCTTCTAAATGGTGAAAGAGTAAACAATGTCAGATATGTCGACGACACCATCGTGATAGCAGATAGTTTAGAGGGACTTCAGAGGCTAATGGACAGAATAAACGAGTACAGTCAACAGTACGGACTAAACATTAATACCCACAAAACGAAACCAATGATTATCAGCAAGGAGAATATAAACGGGGCTCATCTATACATTAATGGGACGCAGATAGAGCGAGTAAAACAGTATTGCTACCTGGGAACTATTATAAACGAACAGTGGAGCAATGTACAGGAAATAAAGTGCCGCATAGGAAAGGCAAGAACGGTCTTTAACAAAATGAGCGCCATTTTCAAAAGTCACAACATATCCCTTAATACAAAAATGAGACATTTGAGATGCTATGTTTTCTCTGTGTTGTTGTACGGGGCGGAGGCATGGACGCTTACAGACACCACTATTAAAAAACTTGAAGCATTTGAGATATGGCTTTATAGAAGAATGCTGAGAATATCATGGACAGCAAGGATCACGAACAAGGAAGTTCTAGGAAAAATGAAAAGGAACCAGAGATTTTGTTTACGATCAAACGCATAAAATTGCAATATCTGGCACACGTTATGAGAAATCAGCACCGTTACTCCCTGCTACAGTCTATATTGCAAGGTAAAGTCAAAGGTAAGCGAGGACCAGGTAGAAGGAGAATATCATGGCTGCGGAATTTAAGAACATGGTTTAAGAAAACCTTAACGGACCTGTTTCGACCCGCAGCGAGCAAGGTTATGATTGCCAATATGATTTCCAACATCCGAAACGGATAGGAACCAGAAGAAGAAGAATAATGCTGACGTGTTGACAGGTATGCATACCTTGGGTCGCTAGTTACAAAACAAATGAAGAAATTACAGGACAAATAAACCTTACAAATAGGGGATATTATGGACTCCAGAAACCATTCCACTTAAGAAATATTCAAAGGAAAACAAAATTACTGTATACAAAACTCTGCTGACGACGGTCCTTAGATATGTGACGGAAATATGGACCCTAACGCAGAAGGATGAAAGACTTCAGGGAATATTCGAGCGTAAGATAGTCCGCAAAATATGTGGAGCTATAAAATTTCTGTCTTAAGTCTTTCTGTCTGTATTATTTTTACCATATCTAGCTGTTTACATAATTCTTCCAATTCTCGGTTACTTCTCACTCTGTGTTATGAGGTGGTTTTATTCTTAAGTGGTTCATATATTTCTCTAAGAATTCTTCTTTCTGTAATGATACACTAAATGGTATCTCAAATAGATATCTTATAAACACCGATTCGATTATCAGTCGAAAGACTTACACGAGTTGACTAACCATAGGTCATGGAATGTGGTAACAAAAAGAAATCAATCAACAAAAAATAAAAAATATTAAAACGACAGTTAGAAAATGGAAGAACAAGTGTAAAAATAGGAAAGAACAGTCAATATTAAACAGTTTATGGTTAGAAAATATAAATATAAATATCTAAGAAATAAAGAAACATAAATCCAACATCTTTTAATTGAAACTATATTTATTTTAACTACAATATATCCGACTAGAATATCCAGCATGTACAGAAAAAACAAAATAGTGTAGTCTACCATACCACCGAATAATAAACAATCAGAATGCCAACTCTCCATGGAAAATTAAGTACGCGCATCTCGTTCGCGCAGACGTTCCGCCATGTTTTAGAGGGAACCAGTGTTGTTTATGTGGTGTGCATAGAAAAATTAACCCGGTTTAATTGACTTACGGCAATCATAGTCATACTATACAATTATATTAACATTATTAAATATAATAACATAAATAATAATATAATTAAACATAAATATAAACAATTACATAACCTCACAAATCATATGTCTGTGTTATGTGTTTCCTTTTAAAACATGGCGCACGTGATGAAAAACTTCAAAGGCGGCATCTGAGAGTGGACATTCTGATTGTTTATTATTCTGTGACCATACTATTTACGTGGCAGTTTAAATGAAAATAGTGACTATTCGTTAGTTTTAAGTTGATAAAAGCTGTAAATACACTAGGGCAGATGGGAATGGCAAGTAAATAATTTTACAGGACGAGATGTTATGAACTTTGATTAAGAGCCGCTATCCAATAAACTACCGAAACGATTTTCGATAGAGCCTTAAGTGACACTGAAGATGGAATCAAAATCAACAGACAGACTAATAGTAATCTTAATAGCTGATAGCCAAGAAGCGCTAGAACGACTAATAGATAAAATAAACAGTAAAGGAGAACGACTGGGCTTGAAGATTAATATAGACAAGACCAAGGTAATGGTGGTTAGTAGAACACGAAATATGCAATTAAATATAACAGTAAACAATAAGAACATCCAAAAGGTCCCTAAGTTTAGATATCTCGATAGTTTGATAACTGAAAATCTAGATCCAGACATAGAGATACGTAGCAGGATTGAGCAAGCCAGATCAGCATTTACTAATATGAGAACCTTGATAAGCAACAGCAGCCTTAACTTAACGCTTCGACATCGCTTTGTAAAATGTTACATTTACTCCATACTGCTATATAGTGCAGAATTCTGGACCACATAGGCCAATGTGATGAACCGATTGAAGGCCGTTAAAATGTTGGTATTTAGAAGATTACTTAAAATTCCCTGGACAGATCACACAACAAATGTCGAAGTATTAAATCGAATGGGCAGAGATCCAGAATTGCTGCCAATAATAAAAAGAAGAAAACTGCTTCTCTCTCACTCTTTAGAGCCATACAAGACCGAAAGGAGTATGACAGAATTGTCGCCAACATCCACTAATTGAATAGGACACCATAAACAAAATCCAAGACAGCTCTACAGCAATGCAAATTACCAAGTTCATCTCGATCCTGCGCCTTGACGATGGAGAGTAACTCACTAGTACTTTGAACAACACCAGAAAGGGGAACATTACGACTGGGTCATCATCACCACCATTCAACCTCTTTTGTCCACTGCTGGACATTGGTCTCTCCCATTTTTCGCCACTCTTTACGGGTCTGTGCTTCTAGTTGCCATTTCTTGGATACTCGTTGAATGTCGTCCATCCAGTATGTCGGTGATCGTCCTCTGCTGCTTTGTCCTCTCTTGGCCGGCAGTTAGCTAGTTTTCTAATCCATCTTGAGTCTTTTAGTCTAGCTATGTGACCTGTTCAATGCCATTTGAGCTTGGCTATGTGTTTGGCGACATCAGTGATACCTATTCTTTTCCTTTTGTCTTGGTTCCTTATTTTGTCTTTTTTGTCACGCCGAGAATTGATCTTTCCATGCGCCTTTATGCCACTCGCATTTTAAGTGCTGTTGTTTTTGTGAGAGTGAGAGTTTTTGATCCGTATGTCATAATAGGAAGAACTCATTGGTCAAATGTCTTCCGTTTCATAGCTATTGGGATGATGCTCTTAAAGATGTCTCTTAGCTAACTGTACGCCGCGCAAGCACACTGGATACTTAATAAGAAATATTATCAATGCCACCGTGAGATTTATTATAATTTGGAGCTTGATAATGATTGTTTTTAAATGATGATGGCTTGCTTATTCCAGCCTATTAGTCAATCTTCTCCAAAATATCCGCTTTATTGCGTTGTATTGACGAAGAAGGCAAATGAGAAATATAGGATGCTTCAGATAGGATGCTCTAAGCATTCATAATTGACGAAAAATATAAATATAAATTGTATAAAAAAATTTTTCGCAATATGCAAGCTCATCTCCAACTACTTCATTTATTGATACATAAATCCTCTTGTAGGTCGTTGAATTGCCTTATGATGTCTTGCGGATTTACAAGTCTGGCTTGTAATTCAAGAACCGGCAAAAATTGAGCAGTATCACTTCACTAGATATCAGACTTGAAACAAAAGACCAAAAATTGTAAGAAAAACAAATTTTTTGAAGTAAATTGTTGGCTTTCCATCTTTCACATAACTTTAATTGACGCTGAATTTCAATAATTCGAATTACTGAACTGTGTCACGTTACTAGACATCAGGAAGGAAGAACCATAAAAGTTGTTTATAAAACCCTTTTTTATGTAGGGATCTTCTTAAATTCTTAATAAAAAACTTACATTTTACATAAATAAAATTTGTTTCATTTTACTGACTCAAAGCATGTATAATAGTCAAATAGTTTTGGTTTGAATGACCATAGTATGTACAATGCAAAAAAAATAGTTTACACAAATAAAAATAAATTTTTGAAGTTATACTTGAAGTGCTAATTTAAAAAAGATT